CATAGAATGCTATGTGTGATTTCCCCATCCAGAAATCCAGTATTCTCAAGGATATTTTTAAGAAAGTAATGTGATATAAACAAAGGTCCTCAGTGGCCTGTTTGTGGCCTGCCCTTTAAATAATAAGCACTATAGCATTATGCAGCTTATCCCAAATGTTCAAAGCATTTTACACACACTGGCACATCAGACGTTGCTCCCCTGTAAGAAAGGCCACAATTGTCACTGCATTTTTGCAGGTGACAGCGCTGATTTCATAATGAAGAGCAGTTTATTATTTATCATATGGCACAGTCACATCACATTTCATTAAAAAAGCACAGGCATGAAAATATGACATATAAAATATAAGATCTAAAATACCAAAAATGGACGGGATACCTACATTACAAAATTAAATAATTTTTTGCTTCGATTTTCCCAACCAGTTTGTCACAATGACTGTTCATGTCCGTGACATTCCTTAAGTTATGCATGTCCCCTGGGCGGTGCTAAAGAACAGCCACTTCAAGGCAAAACATCCAAAGCCTTCAAGGTATGGCAGCCAGTTAATCCTAGTAATTTCCTGGCTATATCACATTACATTATAGGTAGGATGGTAACAGCAACAAACAACAATTAAAGCAGAAGGAATTCACAGTCTTGGCTGTGTTGCTTATGCTAGTTCTAGTTAATGAAAGGTACAATGAAAGGTGCAATCCTATGCAAGGTCAGACAGGAAAAAAGGCCTATACATTCATAGCATGTCTTGCATAGGACTGCACCCAAGCTATGCTTGCAGGTGAGGCTGTCCATGACATTGTCCTGTGCAAAACTCAGCATTTTAGGGTGAGTCCACACAAATTTGCCTAAGTGTTGCATAGAAGAGTGGGTTTTAACAAATCCTGGGTTGTTCTGGTATCCAAACTGGGTCAGGCTATATTTCTGCTGGTGCCAACAGGGCCGTCTTAACGCATGGGCCTGATAGGCACTTGCCCGTGGGCCCCATACTAATCTGGGTATGTTAACCCTTGGAAAATTGGAAAACTTCCAAAATTAACAGTAGTTGTGGTTGTCGTAGGGGCCCCAGTACACTGCTTTGCCCGGGGCCCATAATGCTGTTAAAACGGCCCTGGGTGCCAACCATTCTCTCAAATTCCTTTCTAAAGACATCTCCTCCTCCCTTTCAAATACACACATCTGGAGCTAGTGCTAGCTGTTCATGGAACATGACGGAAGTATAGCCGTGCATTGCATCCAAGAAAGCTATTAGGAACTGCCTTTCACATTTCTACAGGCTGGGCTTCCTAATTTACACCACAGACAATGAGATCAAATTGTGAATGGAGCTAGATTTCTATGTTATCTTTCACTGGCTCTTTGTGGCTTTGGTTTGCATTCCTTTTGCAAATGATTACATACATCAAACTAAATTATATACAAGGCACTCTCTGTAAACCTTTCTCAATTACATCCAAAATTTAAATCTGTGGATTTTTTTTCTGTAAAGTGGGTTTCTTTGCTGAAACCACCAAGCTGAAAAACACCGAGCTGAAAAACAGTGATGCAACTGCTGAAAACTAGTTAGGAGGAATGGAAACACCCAGTTAGGTGTACATGTTGACAGAAAGGATGCTAATTGCTTTTGTGAAATAAAATTATCTTATTGCTACAAATTTGGGTGTGGTTTCAGGAAACAGTGCACAGAGAGTGACTGGAATATATGGCAAAGCAACCTCTCCCTTATGATTAGCAAGGTATTAGCCAATCAGTAGGTAAGCATGAAAATATAGTGCATTTAACAAAGGTTGACATTTTAGGGTGCTAAAATGTAGGCTAAATAACCTTTCCAGAATATAGACTTCAGTAGCCACTGAACCCTTGGACTTGAAGTTCAGAGCAGAAGAGGCCATGGTTGCTTCTCTAGCAGAAGGCAAGGTGATAAGGAGCAAGCTTATTTCTTGTTTATGGTCTCTGTGATTTCCACATGTGTGTGTTGTGGCTTGCAGAAAACCACCTGGAACATTTTAAGAGCTGCACAGTCTTGTCCTCAGCAATTGAGAAGGAAACAAGTTGTGTGCAGATCCTGTGCTTCTGTGACATAAAGGTTGTCTTCTGCTTGCTCCCCACAGAGATTTGTTTCTTCCAGAACGAACATTTGCCACTGCAGGAACAAATTCAGGGGTGGGAGAGTCACAAAAATGACCACAGAGGGTGCATAGAGGCTACATCTTGCCTCCCTTGTTGTATTACCACCATTTTATTACTACTACTACATTTATACCTTGCCTGTTTCCTTTGCAAGGCTCCTTAGACAGCCCTCCTCCTCTCCATTTTAACTTGTGAGGTAGGTTAGGCTAAGAATTAGTGGCTGGCCTCATGCATAACACCAACTATGGTAGTTTCCACAGCAGGGTGGTCCATTATGTTGTCTGAGCCCTGTTGAGGATTTATCTCACAATTCATTTCTGTGACACTGTGGAGAGAAACAATGGTCTATCGTATGGTTTCCATACCATGGCTTATCCAGCTATCTGAACCCAGAAACATAGCTTGCACTTAGCTACCATAGAGTCCAGTGGAAATTGCAGAAGCCACTCTAGCCATCTGGCCTCTATATGCAGACCAATGAGGAAGAGACAGGCGACATAGGCAGGAGCAGAGTGCCCTGGCGTTGAATTTTAGCCACAGAAGCTGATGGGATTGGCGGGTGCCAATGAGAGGACTGAAGCAGGAAGGTGGAAACTCTGTGATTGTCTGACAGCCTCACCCAGACAAGAAAACACTCCATGTGGAGACCACATGGGATATTTTAGTGTTATGTGTCGATGAAGCCAGTGACTGGCCTAAAGTGACATAGTGAGCTTCATGAGAAGGGACTTGAACCCAAATTTCCTGAATTCTGGTCCAGTGCTCTAAACCATTATACCAGGCTGCATGTATTGGCTCAATTTCAGCAGGACCAATAAAGCTCAGCTGTTTTATGTGAATATATTGTACAACTCTCGCCAAGACAGGGTAGGCCCAGAGGAGAGGAGAATTCTGAAAAGCCTCCAATCTTCAGTATCGAAACCATCTTAGAAATAAATAGCATGTAAAACAAAAGCTTTATACCGACAATCTAATCTTTAAAAATTCCACATGCAATCTTCCAAATCCAACAGAAAACTCACAACCAGTATTTTAAATAATATTGACAATTAGACATTGTAAGCCGTCCTGAGGCTTTTTTGCGATTAGGACGGCATATACATATTTTAAATAAATAAATAGACAAAATATTTAATACTGGTTCAAATTTTGTATCTCTGTGCAGGACATCAAAGTCTTTCCTTCCTTCCTCCTCCTCCTCCTCCTCTTCCTCCTCCTTCTTCTTCTTTTGGAACTCTGAAATCCATCAAGGGTTCTGAAGCACAAAATAGTGGAATAGGGGTGCCTCTTGCTCAGCCCTGGAATTTGTGACTGGTACTTGAAAGAGAGTCCCCAAGTCCTTCCACCAAAGAAGAGCCTGCTGGATCAGGCCAAGGACCCATCTAATTATTATTATTATTATTATTATTATTATTATTATTATTATTATTATAACATTTCTATGCCGCCCCTTGCTGAAGCCTCGGGGCGGCTTACAACACAATAAAATACATTGAAATACAATAGAACATAATAAATTACCATTAAATACAAAAATACATTGAGTTACAAACATAATAATATAAAATTAAAATTATCAGTATAAAATAAGTAAATAAATAATATAGGAGGAGAAAAGAGAAGGAAGAAGAAGTTGCCCTGGCCAGATCATATATTTTAACAATTAAAATGATGTTTAAATAAAAAGGTCTTTACCTGGCGCCGAATCAGCACGCTGTGCACACAGTGGCCAGTGACCCTTTCCTCACAGAGGAGTTGTTGAAACTCCTTTTCGTTGCCCCTTTCTGCACATTTTCCAAAGGAATATCCTTTCTTAGATGCAGTGGCCAGAACTGGACCAAGTATTCTAAAGGGCTTCTCTTTTCAAGGCATTTATTGTGGTCCTTCACTCATGGAAGCTTGGAGGTCTTTTTCTTGACACAGTCATCCTCTACGGCCTCTCCCATGTTTTCCAGCCATTTTTGTGGATTGTTTTTTAGAATGAGGAAAGTTGGCTATTTTCCTGGATGCTGCCATTTTTCACTGCAAAGGCTGAGTGAGGAACTTTGATGGTTCTGTTCTTGTACTACCATGTGGTTTTGTGCTGTGGTATAGCAAGGTAGGTATAGGAAGGTATAGAAACATGTAGAATGGTAGGAGGAAAATCTCTAGAAAATAAACCTCACGTGAAGGATCTTCTAATCCTTCTGCAAGGAAAGCAGCAGAAGCCTCAGCAAAGTACCAGGTTAAATGCATCATATAGAGAAGCCTTCTGGCACACTTTCCTCGTTCTAAAAAAGCCGCAGACAGGTTTGCAAAGCACAGGAACTGCCTGGAGGGTGATGGCGTCTCCTCAAGCACTCCGCCCCCGTAAGTGAGGACTCAGGGTCGCTTTGTGAAGGGTACCTTACAAGTTCAATGGATAGGTGGGGGCTTTTTCTTGTGCTCCAGGTTTCAAGTGGGGGCTTTTAAATTCTCTGAAGGAGACAAAGATCCCAGTTTCCTTTTTAAGTTCTTCTCCCGTGAAATTTTATTTTGAAATAAAGGTTTTTAAAGGTAACAGAACAGAATATGCACGATAATGTAACTATTTTTTATTTAGTACATCAGATCAGAATCCATACTGGCTACTATGCTTAGCCTGTTATCGACATGCTTCCCATCTCTCTCGCTTTCTAAATTGTTGAAATAAAGTTATAATAAAGCCGACGGAAAGAAAAAGCATACATGATAATATAGCGATTGCTTTATTAGATAACAAGAACACAATATACGTGAAACGGCTTGGCTAATTGCAATGTTTCGGCTGTGCTTCCCGTCTGCCTTCCATTCAGCACTAAGCTGCCCATTGACAGAAGTTTCCGCACCTCGTTCCGCGCACACGAGCGACGTGCCTATTTCGCACCCAAAGACCACCCTTGACGGGCGGCACGGGAGGCGAGCGAGCGCGCAAAGACAATGGCAAGCCGTCCCATAGGTTGTTTCTTCGTCATGCAAAATAAGGTGGGTGGAGCCTGCAGAGTGGTTGGGAAATGAGACGGACTTCAAAGCTGGTTGAGCAATAGTGGGTGGAGCTTGATGTGTGGAAACGAATCCTCGCTTGCCGGCAGGAAGAAGACGAGGTGCTGGCTTTCGTGCCCGAGTGCCCGCGCTCCCCCTCCGTGCCACGGTTTGGCTGGGTGGGCGGGAGCTGGCTATGCAGATGAAAGCGGGCACGGGCTGGGCAAGCGGATCGCCTCCCGCGGCAGTCTGAGGGTCGGGTCCGGCGGAGCCTGTGGCCGGCCAGCCAGCCAGCCAGCCAATCAACCGCCCGCTCGCCCGCCCGAACGAACTCCGGAGGGGACGGCTCGCCTCGGGTGATTCCCTCGTCCGGCCGTGGGCTCCTGCGAGGGACGACCGGAGGCGCCGTTCGTCGACTCACACGTACGCATCCTGCCCGGAAAGTCGCCGTCACACGAGGGGAGCCGACCCTCGCCGTGAATATGGCGAGTGTCAGAAATGGAACCGAAGGGACAAGCGGCGGCGGCGGCGGCGGCGAGGAGGTAACCCTGGCCGGAGTGAGGGTGGGGCTCCCTGACAGGAGGGAAGAAGATGCTATACGCGGTGTACGAATGAGTGTTAACGTGTGAATGTCGCTGTCTCCATAGCTTTTCCAGCCCTCATCGCTTACCGGGAAAGGGGGAAGGTCAGACTTTCAGGCTGGGGGGCGGAAGGGTTTTCACCTCGGTGCCCAGCTCGTAGACGTCGAGGAGCTTCTCATTTGGGTCCAGGTAGGGGTAAGTGGGGAGGATGGAGGGGAAGGCCTGCGATGCCAGCAAGATCCCACTCGTACACGCACTTTCTCTCGCCTGGTCGCTTTGCCGTCCTTGACTCACTTGCTGCTAGCTTTCCTAGCGCCCAACAGGTGCGTGGATCCTTCTCTTTAGAGTACTCAAAGATTAGATAGAGGTCGCTACTGGGTACTTGGACGTGGCCGTGCCCCTGGGGGAGGTGGTACAGAAAATTGACGTTTTGAAAAACAAAAGCACCCCCCCTCCGCATGTGCACATCCTTTTCTTTTACATATTTATTTAGAGCCCTTAACCTTATCTCGCAGTATTTTAGATAAGATGAGGTTGCTGAAGTTTTAAAAGCCATTGAGCCTTGCTTCAGATTTACAGAGTAGAAGCCAAAAGTAACTCAAGATGGCCCCTCAGTAAAGGCTGTTAGACTCTCCCCACAGTTACCATAGGTAGTATTATTAACCACACAATGTGTGTTGCATATTCAAAATTACAAAGTGGTATCAAAGCCCATCAAATGGTTCAGAGCATCTGCTCACATATAAGCATAGTAGCAGTGCCTCATTGCTGTTTAGGGTGTAATGCTTTATGAAAATTATGCCTGAGTCCCTTTTTAGGTGTTTAACATGCGGTAAGTACCTCATGTATTAAAATTGGCCATAATGCCTCACCCTGGCTAGCCCCGGAAGGAGAATCAAATGCAGAACTTCTAGCAACTTGTCATTAAGCCATCTCTAGAAAACATGCCTATGCTTAATTTGAGTTTGAGTCGTAGTGTAGCTTTTATGCTTCTTGAAAATTCTTTAGAGTGCTGTTTTTCTAAGCAGTTATGCTGTATTTATTTCTTTGAAGAAATGGAAGACAGGAATATGTAAGATGAACTAGCAGAACTATGGATTGTACCTAAAGTTAGTCCTTCTTAGAATGGACCCATTGAAATGAATGGGACTCAAACCAGCCTAACGTTGGATGCTACTCTGTATGCATGTTGCCCCAATTGCACACCCTGTAATAATAACTTAATTACATATGAACCTTATTAACCAGATAGTGTAGGAGGAAATAAAATGTCTCGTGTTAGTAGTGCCTTGCATAATTCAAAAGGTGTTTTAGTAAAACAATCCAGATGTCTTGATCAAGTGAGTCAAATTACTTACACAACAAATATTGTGGATTGGTATCAGAAATTTGATTCCTGGATTCTTATGACTAAGATTATGCCCTATCATTCCTAGAACATGCATTGAGGGATAAGTGCTCATTTGCTTTTATTTTATATCTAGCTCTTGAGTGTGCACTTCTCATCACTGGTTTTGACTGGAGAAAACTTAATGAGAAAAATGGCACCGTATATGTCCTGAAACTGGTATTAAGGCGGTTCAATACATGAAATACAACAAAGACTGTTTATGAGATACAGGCTTGTGCATTGGTTATCTTGAAATAAGTGGTGGTACTACTCTCTGTCCATCACAGGTGTATCTTGGGTATATTTCATTCTTTCATCACAAGTGGAAGCTGGTTCTGGCAAAGAAAAATGACTAAGGATGCAATCCTATGCATGTTTTGACAGCCCTACAACTCCCAGAATTTCCCAGCCAGCACAATGAAAAAGGGCAATGCTGGGAGTGATAGGGCTTACTTCTGTCCAAACCTGTATAGAATTATGCCCTAAGCAAATATGCCTAGGTATCTCTTATGACTGTGCTAGTGAGCCCCCTTTAATGTGAATTTTTACTAGCAATGTCTACTGTATCCTATCAGTCCCCTTGTCTGAGGATGGATGGTATTCTGACGACTTTTAGGGCACTCATGCCACAGATAATTATTTGCTTGGACGAGTACTATTATAGTAAGGTTTATATACAGGCAGTCCCTGGGTTACAAATGAGTTCCATTCATCAAATTTGTATACATCACATATACCAGCATATAAGATGACCATTGAAACTGGAAATAGTCAGGCAAAAATTGAGGGAGATGAGTTGTCTTATACACCAGATGAAAAATTTTCATCATTTTATATTCAACATAAGAAAGATAATATCTATCAATTGTATTTACAAGCTCATTTAAAAATAATCATTAAACTTCTTACTGGTATTGGGGAGCTCATCCTGTGTTGGGTCATGTTGTGAGCCGTGTGTGCAGCTGCAGTCCCACATCTGGCACCTGCCCCCCCCCCCCCCCCCCCGGCCCATCCATGGTGCTAGCACCAGCCATTTTCTCCAACCAGCCCCAGCCGGCCAGTCTCCTTGTGGGCCAGTGTTGGCCTCCAAATCAGAGAGGTAATGTTAGCTAGAATATGGTAACATGACTTCGTGAGAGTCTAGAAGCTTCCAGCTGACAAATACCCATATGTACTGGTGTATAAGAGCCCCTTGAAACTGAAAATAGCAAAGCAAAACTGGGTGTCATCTTATACACCCAGAATATGACAAGCGGCAGAAAAACAGCTCAAAATATTGATCTTGTCTTGAATGTGAGTTGCCTTTATATGGCAGTATATATGATAAGTTGGATCATGTATGTATGGGTTGTATATAGCATGAATAAGCCAAATGTTTGTCTTAGTATGCATATATATTTACCTTTCTATGGAATATAAAACACTTAAGAAACACTTCCATATACAGTTGGCCCTCCATGTTCATTGGGGTTGGGGTTAGGGGCAAAGGACCCCTGCAAAAGTGGAAAAACTGCGACTATCTCTAGTCCCGCTCTAAACCTTAACTCTTAATACTGGGTACCATATGTGTACTGGATTGCTTCTCTTCTCCTGCAGAACTTGGTCTGATCCAACAGGCCTCCTCTTCTTCATTTATTACATTCTTATGTTCTTATTCCTTGCCCTCCCTTTCATTCATCAGTACCTCCTCTTTGCACCAAGGAAAAGCTGGAGGGATTTCCCTCTCCGGATGGGCAGGGTAAGAAGGCACGCTCTGGAGGCCTCCTTCTCTCCTCTTTCGCTCCACCCCTCTCTATGGAGATGATGGTTTTCCACAGTAGGGCACATACCTCCAAAAGTTTCCATGTTCATTACTATGAACCAATTATTTTTAACTCAATTTTTTAAATTAATAGGTTTTATGGCAGTTCATTCATAAGCCTGGATGTTCATGACTTGGATGTTAATAATCCAGGAACTGTCTGTAGTAATGTACATCATTCAGGAGCTTAACACCGAAAGAGGAAACACTGCCCAAGCAAAAAACTACAGCAAGTTCTTCTTTCCTTCCAAATACATCTAAAATCTTACTCACTTTAATAAGCTTAGTCTGCACAACTGTATGCATCCCTTTCCTTGCAGGTTTCTTAGTATTCTGTTTTTAGCCAAGCTCTCCTTTCAGAGGACCCAGTCTCTTGGGAGGGAGAAGCTCAGAAGCTTGCCTTGATCAACTGTGCTAGTGGAAGAAGACTTCCCTGCCACTTCCTGCCTACAGCAGCCCTTCCAGTTCCCTGAAGTGTTACACAAAAATTCAGGACAACCTGCTGAATGGGGGAGCTGTGATGTTGTGAGGGGGAGGCAGGCAAAAATTGTGCAGAAGGATTTTCTTTGCAGAAGGCAGGTCTTGCATCCAACCCAATTATCTATAGTACATTTATTGTGCTGTAGCTCCTGTGTAACACCATAATATTGACTGTCACAATTTGTTTGTGTTGCCCTTTAGATTTTTAGCCTAAAGATTTGTATACTCTAATCCATGGTATGGGGGTCTTGAATTATGTACTGTTGTATTGTGTGAAGCCAGCTGTGCTAACAAATTACGAACAAACCACTTTAACCATGAAGGAACCATGGTTTGTTATGTTGTTTAAACTGTGGGTTAGGGTTGTGTTACTTCTAGGTAGTGGATGCTAAGCTACAACCCTAAGACTCACCTATGTGAAATACCTATTTTACTGCTATCTCTCACAGAGATAAGATTTCTCAAGTTGCACAACACACTGATCATTCTAAATTTTATATTAGAGCAGCATGAGAACATTTATTTTCCTAGATAATGATTCTAGTATCTGAGGCAAATTAAACTTAGAAAACAAGAGGCAAAACCAGCTGAGGGTAGGCACTTGGAACAGGAAGTAACATGGCTGGAGAAAATATTAACTCTTGCTCTGCTTCAAATTGTAGTTTCCTCTATTTTATTACAAAAAGGGAAAAACCCTTCCTTAGCTTTATTATATGCATTATATGTGTAAGCTACCATTTAAAAGAATGCTTTGCATTTTAGGAGTAAGTTTGTAACATGTGACAAAGTCCTCATCTTTTTGTTATTAATGAAATACAGCCTTCAGGAATACAGTTCTGATCAGAGGAGGGTAGTGGTGGGGAGACTGAGAGTGCTTAGCCTTTTCCTTACTAGTCATTTTCCTTCCCAAATAGTTCCTCATACCAATTTAGGTGGCTCACTTGCTGATTCTAAATGAATAGTTATTCTTCTAAACATGCCTTTCAAAATGAAGACAGGGGACAATAGCTTGAGATGGGAAGTTTAGGAGAAAATGACCAGTGAGTAAGGTTAAGTAGCACTGTCCATTCTACTGCAACTTTCCTCAAAATTGCAGTCTCCCATGTCGAGTTTAGTTATTTTTAACTATATTTTCATGTAATGTGGCTTTGTATTTAGGAGACAAGGAATGGTATACCTGCTTCCATATAAGTGAATGAACAAGCTAGTAGAGGAGGGATGGAAAATTCATTCTCTCCTCTGTTCCCAGCACAGAAAGAGATAATCATCTGCTATTTCAAAGCTTTTTGG